CTTTTCTTTCTTTTGTGGGATCAACACGTCTGCATGAAATGCATCCACTCTCCTGCCTGATTCCATCAGACCCACTGCGTGCAGAGGATTGGGTTCCAGGCCCCTGAGACCAGAGACGTGACGTAGGATTGCCTCATGCGGCTCACATACAAGCTGGCAGCCTCACTGCATGTTCAGGTGGCTAGCCAGTAAGACAGGATTCCTCGGAAAGCTGTCTGTGCTGAGAGCCACTGCCAGGGGGATACTGCCAATGCGGAGGGAAGCTCTTGTGATGCTCTTTGGGGATTCCCAGAGATGATTCCACAGAAGATCAAGTACTAGCTTAGAGTCAAAACGGCTTTAAAGCTTTCAGTGAAAATCCGAAGGCAGGACTCCTAATGCACCTTCCCAGCTTTGTGGGGGCTGGGGCGGGGCAGAACTGGAGGCCAGACAGTTTGAAGTAATCAAACAGAAATGGTGTTTGCTGGAAAGCAGAGATTTGCGCCAAGTGCCAGCGTTCTGCTGGGATTGGCTAGATAGCTTCCACCAAGAACCTTTCTCAGACATTTGCATTTGCATCTCGAAGCAAAGCCGCGCTAGGCTGGGGTGGGTGTGGGGCAGGTGCCCAGTTGAGTGGCAGCGGCGATGGGCAAGAGAAAGCGTAGTAAAACCAGGGCACTCCCCAACAGGGGCAGCGTCTCTCTCCCCAGCGTGCCTGTGCGGGAGATATGGGCACTGCCATGTTCTGACCCTGCCGGGGCACCCCAGTCCCTGGAGGTTTCCATGCTGTGAGATGCTATCAAAAGACCTACTAAAGTCAGGAGACAGCACATCTCCCCCTTCCCCACTGCCCACCCTTGTTACCCTGGCAAGAAGGATGTTTGGCTGGTTTGACACAATCTGTTCTTGACAAATCCCTGTGGACTGTTATTTATCACCCTATTATCTGCTAGGTGCTTACAAAGCCCTGGTTTGATTATCTGCTCCATTATCTTCCCGGTACCAAAGTGAAGCTGACTGGTCTGTAATTCCCTGGGTTGTCCTTATTCCCCTTTTCATAGAGCGGTGCTATACTCGCCCCTTTCCAGTCCTCTGGGCTCTCTCCCGTGCTCCAGAAGTTCCCAAAGAGCATCGCAAATGGCTTAGCAAACTATTAAGCCATAGCTGGGCATTTAAAACTGGCACCCGCTGGACAGACCCACCAGGCATTTGCAGCAGCAGCTTCCATTTCTGGTTCAGTCTGTCCCCCTGGGACAAAGGGCTTGCGTGTGCCTGGAGAACCGGTCCCAAAGATGGGAGCTGGAAAAGCAAAGTCCTGGTGAAAATACCAGCCGGGCACAGCAAGGAGTGTCTCTCTGAAGAGAGCCAGCTGCCCCATGGAGGAGAGCTGGAATTGCTTGGTACTGATCTGAAGCTTTGACAGCATGGCAGAGAAGGCGGAAGGTGTTGTTTATTTATCAGTTTCTTCTGGGTTGATTTGTCACTTAGTGCGTCTCAGCTCATCTCTGTTCAGGCTGGCCCTGGCGGGAGATTTCACAGCCCTGGGCTGACAGCGTGGGAGACGAGTTGTCTCTGTTCATCCCCAGATACAGCTGCACTCCCTTCCTCCCCACCCGTTTGCCCTGGAGCCAGGGGAGAGGAGAGGGACTTCGGCTTCCAGGTGCCAATCAGTCATGAGCCTCTGCCACCAAATGAGGAGGCGGTTGGAGGGCCTCCCTCAGCATGGTGTGTTCCTTGGATCTCCCCTGCAATCCCAGACTCTGCATCCCACTGACAGCAGCTCCCCTTTGATCCGTCCAGAGCAGCACTCAATTAGCAGAGATGTTGAGAGGCCAAGGAACCGTGCTGTCTGCTGTGTTCCCTGGTCCCCCTGCGCTCAGGTGCCTGAGGGGCTGGGCTCTCTTTTGGGAGGAGGGCTTGGCAGGCGTGGTGTTGGTCTCTCTTGCGGGTAGTGTGATTGGCAGGAATACAGACACACACACCCCTTGTTAACCTGAAGACAGGATGGCCGGTTATACTAGGTTGACTGCTGTGTGATGACACGCTTCTGAGCTACGCAGTGATGTGCTGCTGATATCCTAAAGTGGGGCTACTACAAATATTTCTCCCAGCAGCCCTGACAGCCCCCTCTTTTGTCCAGGGGGGCATTGCTCTCCATGGGGGACAAGGAGGAAAGTCTGGCCAAGCTATGGTTTTCTCATAGCCTTGAGATGGAGGCACCCTGTTTGGCAAATGACGGTCTGTCAATGGACTTGTCTAGAGACACAGAGACTTCGCCACTGAAAGCCCCCTCAGAGCATACTGCTCCGCTGGTGTGATTTGGGGAGGGGAGGGGAAAGCTGGGGGGTCTCCTGCCCTGGGGAGAGGTTTGGAAAATACCTGCTATCTGGTGCGTTCTGGCCCATTTGACAGGCTTGTCCTTCAGAATCACGTCTGAGCCCTGGGAATAAAGCCTTGTCCACACTGGCAGGTTTCTGCGCTGTAACTCCCGA